ATTATTTTTTCCTTAGAAATTTGCTGGAATTCACCAATCAAGCCATCTGAGCCTGGTGTTTCTTTGTGGGAAGGTTTTTAATTATAAATTTCATTTCTTTAATAGATACAAGGCTATTCAGGTTATCTGTTTCTTCCTGAGTGACCTATAGTAGTTTATATCTTTCAAGGAATTTTTCAGTCTCATCTAATTTGTCAAATTAGTTGGCATAAAGTTGTTAATAATATTGCCTTATCATTCTTTTAATATTTCAAGAATCTCTAGAAATATTATCTCTCTCATTGTCGATGTTGATAATTTGTGTCTTTCCTCTTTTTCTCCTGATCAGTCTAACTATAATTTTATTAATTTTACTGATCTTCTAGAGAAACAGAATATGGTTTTGTTAATTTTCTTTACTGTTTGTGGGTATGTGTGTTTCCATTGATTTCATCTCTGGTGTTACGATTTCCTTCTGGGTTTCATTTGCTCTTCTTGTTCTAGTTTCTTAAAGTAGAAGCTGAGGTTTTTTTCATTGAATCCTTTCTTTTCTAATACAGGGGCTTAGTGCTATAATTTTCCCTCTAACAACTGCTTTAGCAGCATCCCAAATTCTGACATATTCTGTTTTGTATTCAATTCAAAATACTTTTCTAATCTCCCATTTGCTTTCTTCTTTGACCCACAGATTACTCAGAAGTATGTTATTTGTTTTCCAAATATTTGGAGATTTTCCAGAGATTTTTCTGTTACTGATTCCTAATTAATTTACATTAAATTTATTGAGTCTTGTTTTATGGGCCCCAATACGATCCATCTTAGTAAATGTTCCATGTTCATTTGAAAATAATGTATAGTCTACTGTTATTGGGTAGAGTGTTCTATAAGGGTAATTAAGTCAAGTTGGTTGATAGTGTTGTTTAAGTGTCCTATATCCTTACTGATTTTATCCATTTATTCTATCAATTATTGAGAGGCATGTTTACTGTAATTGTGGATTTATCTATTTCTCCTTGCAATTCTGTCAGTTTTTTCTTCATGTATTTGTAAGCTCTGTTATCAGATGCATACATTTTTAAGATTGTTTTGTATTTTTTTTGAAATGACTTTTATCCCCTGGTAATATCGTTTCTTCTGAAATATATTTTGTGTGTTATTAATATAGCCACTTCAGCTTTCTTCTAATTAGTGTTGTTGGGGCATATTTTACCTTTAACATATTTGTGTATTTATATTTAAAGTGGTTTTCTTGAAAGCAGCATATAATCGAGTCTTTTAAAATATATAACTAATAGACTTTATTTTTAGAAAAGTTTTATATTTACATAAAAATTGAACACATAGTAGACAGTTTCCATATTACACCTCCTTTCCCATATACATACCCACCCACCTACAATTTCCCTTCTTTTAACATCTTACATTAGCATGGTACATTTCTTACCGTTAATGTTCTAACATTGATATAGTGAAATTAACTAAAAGTCTGTAGTTTGTTAAAGTTTCTTTAGTTTTTGCCTAATGTCCTTTCTCTGTTCCAGGACCCCACCCAAGATATCCTGTTACATTTAGTTGTCACATCTCCCTAGGCTCCTCTTAGCTTTTACAGTTTCTCAGATTTTCCGTTTTTGATAACCTTGACAGCTTTGAGGACTACTGGTCAGGTATATTGTAGGATGCCCCTCTAGTGGAATTTGTCTGGTGTTTTTCTCATGATTAGACTGGGCTTATGGGTTCTGGGGAGGAAGATCACAGAGGTAAAGTGCCATTTTCATCACATCATGTCAAGGGTACATGATTTATGACTTGATGTTGACCTTGATCACCTTGCTGAGATAGTGTTTCTCAGGTTTCTCCACTGTAAAGTTACCTCCTCCCCTTCTATACTGTTTTCTTTGGAAGGAAGTCCCCAAGTACAGCCCACACTTAAGGTGTGGGGAGTTAGGCTCCTCCTCCTTTAGAGTAGAGTATCTAAATAATTTACTTCGAATTTTTCTGCGTAGGAGATTTGTCTCTTCTCCCTCACTTATTAATTCAAACATTTATTTATATCAGTATGGACTCATGAATATTTCATTTTTTGGGTTATAATCCAGTGTCTTAGTTTTTTCTTATTGCTGCTATAACAGAAATACAAGTGGGTGGCTTTAACAGACATTTATTTTCTCACAGTTTAGGAAGCTGAAAGTCTGAATTCAGGGTACTGGCTTTAGGGGAAAGTGTTCTCTCTCTGTCATCTTTGGCAGAAGGTCCTTGTCTCTTTTCAGCTTCTGTTCCCCAGTTCCTTCATGTGGCATGTATCTTCCTCTCCCTTTGTGCTTGCTCACTTCTGAGCCTAATCTGCTCTTTTTATATCTCAAAAGTGATTAGTTTAAGATACACTCTCCACTGTTATGACCTCATTAACATAATAAAGAAAACCCTATACCCAAATGGGTTTCATCCACAAGTTTAGGGGCTTCTTAGTCATCTAGTGCTGCTATAACAGAAATACCACAAGTGGATAGCTTTAACAAACAGAAGTTTCTCTCACAGTCTAGTAGGCTAGAAGTCCAAATTCAGGGCATCAACTCCAGGGGAAGGCTTTCTTTGTAGGCTCTGGAGGAAGATCCTTGTCATCCATCTTCCCCTGGACTAAGAGCTTCTCTGCGCAGGAACCCCAGGTCCAAAGGATGCACTGTGCTCCCGGCTGTTTTCTTGGTGGTATGAAGTCCCCCTGTCTCTCTGCTTGCTTCTGTCTTTATATCTCAAAAGAGATTGGCTTAAGATACCGTCTAACCTTGTAGACCTCATCAATATAAATATACTAGTGTGTATACTAACCAGTGTATATACACACATCTATAGTTATTTCTATATGTAACTATCTGTATCTATATTAAATTAAACATGAGTTCTCACTGATGTCTTCAACTTTAATCCATTACCGCATGGATCATTCTAGCTTCCTCCTCTTGCTGATCTGCAAGTTTCCACTCCAGTGGTAAGAAACCTGGCTTCCATCATCCACTGTTACGTACTTAATTGTTCAGTTCCAGTCTACATGTCTAGCATTATCAGAATTGTTAACTCATACCCCCCTGGGAAACAACTTTATCAGCTTGAGTTCAGTACTTATGAACAGTTCCTTTTGCCTTTAATGTTATAGATTTCATTCATTTTCAGAGTTACTTAAGTCAGCACTTTTTCCCCCACCCCCTTCAGTGTGGTTGTTTCATACATTTGTAATACTCTTATCTCAAACTGCTTTCTTTCCTGGGATTCCCCAGGAAGAGATTGTAGAGAATTGGTATAATTTCTTCCTTAAGTGTTTGGTATAGTTCATCAGTGAAACCATCCATGCGCCTGATGCTTTCTTTTTCAGGAAATTGTTAATTATTGATTGTAGGGTCTTTCTTTCTTCTTTTGTTTCTTTCTCTTCTTTCCTTCCTTCCTTTCTTGGAAGTCTTTTTTAACCAACCTGCCCATCTCTGCAATTGGGACATTTAGATCATTTATATTTAATGTGGTTGTTGATATGGTTTGGTTTAAATCTACCATCTTATTTGTTTTCTTATTGTCTCATCTGATTTTTGTTCCCTTTTCTTTTTTCTGCTGTCTTTTGTGTTAATTGAGTAAATTTTTTTAATTGTGGTTAAAAAAATATATATATGTATAACAAACTGCCATTTTCAACATTGTTTACATGTATATTTCAGTGGCATTAATTATGTTCATCATGTTGTGCAACCATCATCACTATCCATTTCCAAACTGAGTATTTTTTATTATTACATTTTATGTTTTTTATTGGCTTATTAGCTATAACTGTTTGCTATTTAGTGGTTTCTTTAGAGTTTATAGGATATAATCACTCATTCACCCAAAGAGAATACCTTTATATAATTGGTACAGAGGACTTCATAGGGTAGTGGGGGTACTGATTCAGAGGCTGATTTTTCCTAGATCAGTATGGAAAGACATTAAATGCTGTCTAGGCCCTTTAAGTTGGAGATGATGAGAAACAATAGGGCAGCTTCATGACACTTTGGAACATCCATACCCTCTTCAGGGGAAAAAAAAAAAAAATCGAAAAGAAGATCAGGGCACACTAAACTACCACATTCCCTGGGTAGCTGCAATCCCTCATAGCCGATGTTAGTTCACAGAGGTGAACACAGGAGGGGATGGGGGTCAAGTACATCATGGAGTATGGTGCTTACTTGACATGGCTTTTTGAGTAGAGAGACATTGACAGCTTATGGGAAATAGGGACTCCTCAGTACCAAGCTCCAGCTGGAAGATAGACACGAAAGAAGCGTGGCAGACTTGGGTTCAAGAACTATTGTGATTAGTGCAATGATAGGCACACAGTTTTGTTCAAAGCTTCTGAGCTTTAAGTAAGTAAGCTACAGGGAACTCATGAAGCAAATAAAAGAGATAGGGGTCGTTCCTACACCATGAGAAGGTTGGGTGTACTTTGTGGACTGGAGGCCTGAGTATGGACTGTTTTAAGGGACACTATATTCTGAGTCCCCACCTGAGAGCCTGTTTCTCCTTAAAGCACATACATTTCTTCTGTATCCTCTTGGATGCAGTGTGCAGAGATAAATGTGCAAGAGGCTTTTAGACCAGGAGTCCTGTTGCCCTTTGAGAAATGTTTGCGTGCTTGACTGTGCCTTTCCTTAAGCCATCTGCACTGAATGAGTTCTTCATGCCCTTGGAAAGCTGCATTAACTTGATTAGGCAGATAGGAGTCTAAAATATTCCTAGAAGGGCAGGAAATAGACAAGCTGCTGCTGGACCTAGAATGGATTTCTTGAAAGACGTGGGTTGTTACAAGCACCTTGGGAACAAGGGAGAAAATTTCTAGGCTGCCAAACTTTTACAAAGAGAGAATCTTTAAACAGATGGTTGCCCTGGAGAAACAGCCATATATGCTAAGTGCCAATGCTAGGGGAAGATTTCTTGCCTAAATGTGCTCACAGTTGTCCTCAGAAGCAAACCTCACTGAGAATTTCTTTTGCTTTCCCCATCCACAGGTAGCAGTCCTTTGGACAGCCCCCGGAATTTCTCTCCAAATGCACCTGCTCACTTTGCCTTTGTTCCTGCCCGTAGGTAAGTTGATAGAAAACCTCCTTTGTGATTAACATGTGTGACACTTGCGTGAATGTAACCTTCCTCTTTTGAGTCACTGCGCCTCCAGACGTATCAGCTTTGGGCTACTAGCCATCAAAATACCTTCCTTGCTTTCCTCTCCCAGGCTATAATCATCTTGTTCAAGTTTTACCTTCTAGATGCCATAGGTATTTGTGTTTGAGTCATAGGAGAGTAGATATTAGAAGTAGATTAATTTTTATAATCCTAAGCACAAGTCCCTGGTACCCTCAAGGTATGTTTCAAAGCATTATACTCTTAATGGGGTGATCAGTTAGAAAATGGGCTCTGCTCCTAGGGGGACCCAAAGTTATACTAACTCAGCTATTTCTAAGGGGCAGAAAGGGACCTTATGTGCCCCTTTTCTTGACTCTGAAGATAAATTTGTCAGGAACTGAGATGGCCCATGTATGGGGATCAGTGGACTACAGGGTCTTCTGTGAATTTAGAACAATATGGTACATACAGAGCCTTGCTTGTATTTCTCTTTCCATTTCTTCTCTTCCCAAAAATGATACAGCCCTATCTCTGGCACATGGTAGCACTCCTGACAGCTCAGCCCATTGCTAGGGTGTCACCTGGTCTCTGGAGGGGTGCTGAGCTGACTGAGATGGAAACTACATACCAAGGCCCAAGCATAAATGGTTTCCTTTTCAGAATATTTTATAAGATCCTTTGTTGGCCGAGTTCATGTCCTTTGATTTTATTTTTTGTTTTTTTTTAATTTTCTTGGTTAGAATCAGTCTCTGATATTGAAACATCCAGAAAGATCATGGCTCCATGATTTAAAGGATTTAGAACCTTTAAATGATAGGGAATATAATACAGCATGAGGCCAGAGCAACTTCTACACTTAGGCTAATTTTTTTTTGAAGATTGTTCTGCTGAATACATAACAGAAAGAGAATGGACTCCTGGAAAAATCATTAGCTCATTATTCAGATGACAACCTAGAAGAAATCCATCTTCTTTCTAGCTAGGATTCTTTGTAGCTGAAAAGGACGTGGACAGGTTGGGAGATGTTTGGTGGCTGACTTAGGTGCCCCTACCTGACCTGATTTCCTTATTGAAAACAAATTTCATCTAGACTTGTTCTGTGGACTTATCTCTCCTAACCTGTGTAACTTCCTTTAGTTAACCAAGGATCCAGATAGAATCATTTACAGTATAAAAATATGCTGGATTGATGCATTTGTTTTTCCAGCCCAGGTGGAAAAACTTACTTATCCCAGACTTCCAGCCTGGACTGTGTTTGAATTGTAACCTCAGATGAGGACTGAACTGGCACAACAGGATCTGTCCCCAGATCCCTTTAAGTGGCATTGAGTCATTTCCCATTCATCCAGTAAATATTTATTGAGCACCCACTATAAGCTAGACACTATGTTGAGTACTTAATTTTACAGTGATAACAAAATAAACATAGTCCCTACTTTCCTGAAGCTTATAGTCTAGTAGAGTCTGTGTTTGTTGTTCCCTTTACAAGGATTGTTGTCGCCTCAAATCTTCACTTAGTTAACTCATGCTTGTATTCATGTCTTATCTCAAATGTCAACTTCTCTGAGAGGCCTTCCCTTACTCCACATTCTAAAGGAGCCCCTAGTCATTTTCTATCAAGTCATCTATTTTATTTTCAAAGTGTGACGTATCAGTACCTGATATTTTCCTATTTGCTTCTTTTCTGTCTCCCTCCAACCAGAATCAGAACACCTTTAGTAGAGATACCTTCATCTGTTGAAAGCTGTGTCTCCTTGTACATAATAAGCACTCAGTCAGTGTTTGTTGATTGAATGAGTGGTGGGGGAGAGAGAAATAAATGAGCAAGTAAACAAACAAATATATAGTTACAAATTGTGATAAGCACCATGAAGGGAAAGAACATAATGCTGCATGAAAGAATAGGGAGGGAGTGGGGATGGAGAATCTATACTGGATGGTCACGTAAGGCCTCTCTGAAAGATTGACTTTTAAGCTAAGGCCTGAGAGATGAGAAGGAGCCTGCCATTGAGAGTGGGAACACTGGTGTGTGGAGCATTCCAGCCAGAGGGAAGAGCATATTTCATGGGATACCCTTGGGTCTGCTTCATTTCCTAGGCTTCAGGAATAGGGCCAACTGGGGGGCGGGGTTTAGGGCCTGCTGTTACCACTGGACCCAGGCTGATCTGTGGCTTCCAGGGTACTCAGGAACTGTTTGTCCCTAGGTTAGTGGCCTCAGGCTTGAGCCTTAGAGAGTCACAGTAGTTTGGAATATCATAAAAAAGACAGATATAATAAAACACTAAGGTAGACCCATCCATCCTAAAAATTCACTTTAGACTTCCACACGTTTCTAAACTGAAGGTTTACCTCCATCAAGCTTGACTAAATGCCAGTAATCAGACAGATCACTCCCTCTGGTTTCCTTTGGTTCTCACTATAGTGTACATCTTTTCACTACAGCCATGGCCACAGAGCAGACAGGTAAATAGGGGGTGTGACAGGGAGAGGGGCTGGGAAACTGCTATGCATGGCCAGACCATAGGGTTTGTGATTTTGTGCTTCGTGAGAGCTGGTTGTGTTGATTCTTCGACTGTGGGTGTGAACATTGGACCTTCCATATCTAGCAAGGAGGCCCTAAGGGATCCCCCACTGCCTGCTGAAACTGAGGCTCAGGGCTTACATCCTTGGAGGCAGGAATTGCTTAATGGTTCCAACTGCTGAATAGTTCCAAACTTCTGGCCTAGGGATAAGTCACCTAGTGAGGTGACCAGGCAGAGGAAGTAGAGGCATCCTATGGTGGCATATCTTCCTCAGTGGCCCTCTGCTCTTCAGTATACAGAGAAATGCTGCCATGCAGTTGGTTTCCATTTCTATGTAAAGAAGGAAGACTTTCCTTTGAAAAAGTTGCTTGATAAGGGTTTGGGACACCCATCCCCGAGTTATACTGATTCCATCTTAGCTGAGCTTTTTTTCCTGGTATTGACCTGCTTTCTTGTGTAGAGCTCCCAGGACCCCACAGAGAGATCAGAGCATTATGTTTAAGCACCCTCCTGGACGTTTTGCCTCAGAGTCTGGGTTCCAGCAGAGCTATAACTGACATGTGCTGGCTGCCTGGGTGGCATGAAGTTGGAGTTGTATGCATGCAGCATGGAACCCCGGGCTCTCTCCTTACAGAACACGGCAGGGAAGGCTGCTAGTTATTGGTGGGGGTGGAAAGGAGTGCTTCAAAAGGAGAAACCCTGAGCAAGGTTATTCCTCCTTTTTCTTCCTCCTCTTCCGTCCCCCTCACCCCACAGACACATAGCTGTGAAGCCTTGATCCAATCACCCAACTCTCTGGGTCTCAGTGTTTTATGTAAATTGAGCATATTGAACTTAGTTCTAAAGATCCTCCATTGCTGATGTTTTAAGGTTTTATGACACGCAGCACAGGCATTTTTCTCCAGCTTTAACCAGAGCAGGATATATCCCCAAGCTCTGTGAGAAATTTTTTTGTTACTCCACATCCCACAGTCCAGGCAAGGAATTATGTGTTTGTGTTATAAAAGCTTCAAACCATTCAGATGCCTGCTTGATCTTTCTCCTCTACAACAAAGCAGGTGGCTGTGGTTCTTTGTGATGAGCTTTGGGGAACATCCTCTCAAGAGCACTAGCAGGCCACCTCTAAGGCCCCACATACAACCAAGGGTATATCACCTCCCTCCTCTTTTATAAGGTTACTGTCACACTTTGGCAAACATTCTCAAAAACAGTTTTATGGGTGATGCAAATGGTTAAGCACTCAACTACTAACCAAAAGGTTGACAGTTCATACCCACCCAGAGGTGCCTTGGAAGAAAGGCCTGGCAGTCTACTTCCAGAAGGTCACAGCCTTGAACACCCTACGGAACAGTTCTACTCTGCACACATGGGGTTGCCATGATTTGGAATTGACTTGGTGGCAACTGGTTGGTTATTTTTTTTCTTTCTTTTTTTAATGGATCCTAGTCAGCCTTTAACTACTTGCCATCGATGAATTCATGTTCAGTTCAGACCCAGATGGTGGTTCACTTCTTCCTGTTTGTCAACCCAGTGGCCTGGGAAAGACCAAAGTGTTCTTCACATGAAGTCTTTAAAAAAGGGAATAATTGCATTTCGGTGGCAATTCCCTCCTTGTAATGATGCCTTTAATTGGAGTCCTCTGCCATTGCTTCTCTGAAAGTGATTAAGTATTGAGAGTATAAAGACAGCTATTTGAGAACCACAGTATTGTACACAGATATTCTTACTCAAAGTCATGGACCCCTTTATAGTCAGAAATGTCTGTCGTTGCAGTAGAAGACACAAACAGTAGGCCTTCATGTAGGAGAGAGACGTGAAAGCATGTAGTAGATGCAGCAGTACTATGTTAAGACAAGAGTCTACCAGTTAACTGCCAAAAAATGATGACAGAAGGACAGACAGATTATGGGCCCAGGAGGAGATCTTGTGGAAACTGTCTAATACTCTTTTCTTATATAGGACTGATGGACGGCGCTGGTCTTTGGCCTCTTTGCCTTCTTCAGGCTATGGAACCAACACTCCTAGTTCTACTGTCTCAGTAAGTAGCTAAATCTGTAGGTACACCCTTTCACCCTGAGGAAGTACTTTACTGTGGATGATTGATCCCTACCCTTACAGTGTTGCAAAGTGGTTCTCAACTTTTCCTCCTATGAGCCAAACTCAAAGAGGTTGTTTAGGGACAAGACTGAGTGGGGCAGAGTACTGTGACCCTTAGCAGCCATAGCCAGACCCATTAAATGCTTTTGGAAAGGATAACTAGCACCCTTTCTGGGAGTTGGTTATACCTAGCAGAGTCAGAGAAGAGATTGAGCGGGGACTTTTGCCTTTTGCCAGTGATGCCCAGGTATGGGGGCTTTACGCATGGTTTCCTTACTTTCCCCAGTCGTATTTCCAGAACTGCATCCAAGAGAAGGTGACCCCTCCATGCCCCAAAATCCTGGTAGATTCCCTCCCCCCGCAATTCTGTCACTTTTTTATTTTATTGTTGTAGTTTAAATGAAGTTTACATTTGAAGTTAGTCTCCCATACAAAAATTTGTACATACATTGTTATGTGACCCTAATTGCTCTCCCCATACTGTGACAGCACACTCCACCTTTCCACCCCTGATTCCCCATGTCCATTCAACCAGCTCCTAGCCCTCTCTGCCTTTCCATCTCACCTCCGGACAGAAGCTGGCCATTTAGTCTCTTATATCTACTTGAGCTAAAAGGCACACACCTCACGAGTATCACTTTATGTCCCACTGTCCAGTCCAATCTCTGTCTGAAGAGTTGGCCTCGGAAATTGTTTTAGTTCTGGGCTCACAGAGGATCTGGGGGCCCTGCTTTCTGGGGTTCCTCCAGTCTCAGTCAGACCATTAAGTCTGGTCTTCTTACTAGACCAGTTCTGTCACTTTTTTCTTTCAAAAAAGAAGGGAAGAATGATTGTTATTTGAAATTCTAGTTTGGTATGTATCAGCAAAAAGGCCAGGCCTGTCTCTAAAACTTTGTTATGTTTCTTTTAGGGATAGTTTTAGCCTAAAGCACAACAGATTTCCAAATTGTTACTGTGCAGAATTACCTAAAATGAATCTTCCTCATTGAGCAACTTTTTGTTGAAGCCAGGATGTCAGGCTTGGCAAACTTTTCCTGTAAAGGGCCAGATAGTAAACAAAAGAGCAAATGTTTTAGGCTTTGCCAGAAAAACCAGGCCATGGCCCGGCTGACCCCTTTGCCACTTCTTCCACCTCTGTTCAGATCTTCTCTCCTCACTCTGTCCATATCCATGAATCCCAGGCAGGGAAAGGAGTATGACTTCCTCCCTTGACCTAGACACGACTCTTAAACTGATCCAGAGGTCTCACTGGTCTTTTGGCAACTGTTAATCTTCAGATCTTTCCCTAGTAAATACTCTTCTTCCCACAATCCTTTACTCAAACAGGTGTTTTTTTGGACTCACAATAAAAATCCTGTTCAGTCTAATTTTAATAGACTCAGTCCATTGCCGCAGCTTATTGCCCGCCATGGCAAAAGGGAGCAAGGGAAAGAAGACTGTCCTTTGGGTTTATTTTTGAATATTGACTAGGAAGCCCCTGACCATTTGCAATTCTTCTCTTTTCATGGACTGCCCTTAGACATGCCTTTAATGCTGTTTGTTAATATTTTCCTCTGTAGTCTTCATGCTCCTCACAGGAAAAGCTGCACCAGTTGCCCTTTCAGCCTACAGCCGATGAGCTGCACTTTTTGACAAAGCATTTCAGCACAGAGAGTGTACCAGATGAGGAGGGACGGCAGTCCCCAGCCATGCGGCCCCGTTCCCGCAGCCTCAGGTGAGGAGTGCTGTCTGCCCAGTGCTCTAGTACCTGTGGTCTCAGCTTGTTTGCATAGCACAGGAGTCAGCACACTTGCTCTGTAAAGGGCCAGGTAGTAAATATTTTACACTTTGCGGGCTGTACGGGCTCTGTCACAGCTATTTAACTCTGCTCTTGTAGTATGAAAGCAGCCGTAAACAATATGTAACTTTGACGCAATGGTTAAGCACTCAGCTGCTAACCAAAAAGTTGATGGTTCGAATCCACCAGCAGCAACACAGGAGAAAAGACCTGGCGATCTGCTCCCATAGAGATTACAGCCTAAGAAAACACTACAGGGCAGTTCTACTCTGTCCTATAGTTTTGCTGTGAGTCGGAATCGACTCAATGACACACAACAACATTTACAAAAACAGGCAACAGGCTAGATTTGGCCAGCAGCCCATAGTTGGCCAACCCCTGGCATAACACGTTGGCACAGCTCGAATGAGCCAAGTCCAGTGAAGCTCAAGGCCTTTCTGGCTTTGGGTACAGCTCAACTCACTACCCCAAGAGATCTCTGAGGATGCTGTCAAGCAGTTCCTCTCTTTTTCCTTTTAAAAGTAGTTAACAGTAGAGATATACTTTAGACTCTGTTCAGTAAAAGGAGAATAGTAGTAACATCAATCCTGATGGTTGCCTGGGCTGCAGAACCTGGCTTATAGGCGCAGGGTGTATGAGCCAAGCCAGCCAAAAAAGTTGCTGCTGAAGACACAGGAGGCTGACCCAGGAAAGACAATTTCAAAAGCAGAATTAAATGCCCACTGGAATCTAGCTTATTTCCCTGAATCACCTGGGCTCATATCATTAAACCAAACAAACCCAAACAGCTGATTTATCTGTGAATTCCTTACCTTAATTGGTTATTCTCTTTGGCATTTCCTGATGAATCTATGCCAAGATTCAACGTTAAGGAAGAGGATGGAGATTAAGATGATCATGGCTTTAATGACTGAGCTCAGCTTTCCAGGGTCCCTGGGAAGTAATGAATGGGCTAACATGTGCAGGGTGGGTTCCCAGAGGAGCAGGCCTCCCAGAAAGAATCCTCTCAGGTGATGATGGCACCGTGATGTCAGGGAGTGAGCTGGGCCAGGCCACGAAGACTGGTTCAGGGTCAGAGCTTGATGAAGATGATGACTGGGACTACAGTACAAAGGATGAAGAATACAGATGAGTGGGCATGCATCCCCAGTGCCTTTCTTTCTCTCCTACAGAGGAGCACCTGAATTTGGGTCTCAGCAACCCACACCGAGTAAAGGCTACCTTTTAGGCTCTCTGAGATTGAGAGGACGATGTTCACGTTCAGGGAAATCCCCGCTGCGTTCTTCTTAAGTACTTGGTGATGCATTGTTCCAGAGAGGAAAGGCAGGGAGGAACAGTTCTGAAACCAGCCCAGCTGGGATGACATGTCAGGGGCAGCAAACTAGGTAGAACCCAAACATCCATCCAATTGTGTTGCTCAAGCTTTGAAATTCTTTAATGGAATATAACCATACATGGGCCAGAGGGGAAGATTTAGATTTGGGGGGAAAATAATAAATTAAGGCTAAAAACGTACTGGGCTCTTTGTAGATGACGCAGGCTTATAATTCACTACAGGCTGAATTGGCCTCATTCACGCCCCAGGTCAGAGCACCACTGGCTGCAGTTTGCCTATAAAAAGATACAGGTGTACAGAGTCTTGCTTTCGTTGCAGTTTAATTTGATTCATAGAACATGCTGGGTTATACCCAGCCCCACTGGCAAAAGCTACGAGAACGCAGAATCCTGACCTAGGGAGGTCATCCTGGGAAAGCCACCAGTGGGCTCGGGAATAGGCTCCCTCCATCCTAGGCCTTTTCAGTTTGTGGCAGAGGTCTCTGTGAAAGCCAGGCTTGTTGCAGGAGAGAGAAAGTAGCCTAGCTCCAGATGGCACCATTTTGAACTGAACAAGGTGCATTGGCAGCTTCAGGAATAAGGAAGGCTCTGGAACTCAGCACTCATTAAGGTGGGAGTGTGTGGGGTACTGAAGACAGTGGGAGGGAGGGGCTCTGGGGGATGGTCATCGTTCTACTTGATAGTTCCATAGCACAAAAGTAACACAATTATTTCTTTCTTATTTAGTCCTGGACGGTCCCCAGTTTCCTTCGACAGTGAAATAATAATGATGAATCATGTGTACAAAGAAAGATTCCCCAAGGTAAGGACCCAGTTAAAAGACTGGTGACTCTTCTGAGGATGGCTGACTGCAGCCAGCCCCAATGGGAAGACTCAGGGGGTGAGGGGATAAAGTGCTGCCTGCAGAGCTAATCAAGCAGAAGAGCAGAAAGGCACCTGGAGGAGGGGTACAAGCACCGGGCTTCCAGGCTCCGCCTGAGAAGAAGAAGGCAGCAGAGGACTTAAGGTTAAGGATTGTGGAGCTTCTGTTTCTCCACTCCCTAGAGGAAGGGATATCTAGAGAGAAAAGTCAAATCGGTATCCTACCATGTATTAAGGGAAAGGAAAGAACTGGAGATCTTGTTTCTAACTCCATGTCAGGATCCCTGAGCCAGGGTCCCCCAGAACAAGATTTGCCCTCCAGTAGCACCTTCATTCAATACAGAGTTCTTAAGTAGCACCTCATTACCAGACCAAGACCTCAGCGTTGCTTACTAGCATTTAGATTTGTGTTTTCAAGCTAGAAAATGCAGAGAGAGGAAGGAAGATTGCTATCCTGAGATAGTTGAGAAATAACCTTCACAATTCTGTGGTTTGGCTATTGCAAATGACTTCTGACACCAACTACCTGGTGTTAGGCCAAATGTCACAGGTTAAAGGCACAGTCCTATTAGAATGACTCACAGAACTCACTGAAAGTGTTATACTTACAATTATAACTTTATCACAGCAAAAAGATACAAATCAGAACCAGCCAAAGGGGGAGATGCATAGGGTAAGGTCTGGGAGAGTCCCAACAGAAACTTCCATTATCTTCCCCCTGTGGAGTTGGAACGTGTCCCCCTCCTGGCACATCGATATGTGAGAATATTGTCAGGGAAGCTCACTGAGCCTTGGTGTCCAGAATTTTTATTGAGGCTTCAGTACATAGGCATGATTGAGTAAATCATTGGTCACATGATTGAACTCACTCTCTAGCCCCTTCCTCTAAACTCTGCTCTTGTAGTAGGAAAGTGACGTCAGACCGTATGTAAACTTCAACGTGGTATCACACGGCTCAAAGCTCCAAACCTGAATTCACATGGTTAGCCTTTCTGGCATGGCTAACCCCATCCTGAGTAATCTAATTAAAATAAACTATCAGAAAACCATAAAATTCTTAGAAGAAAATGCAGGGGCAATGTTGTCGGGCCTAGCTTTTAACAATGGATTATGTAATATAATAAAAGCACAACAAAAGACAAAATAAATAAATGGAACCTCATAAAAATTAAAAACTTTGGCTCATCAAAAGACTTTACCAAAAAAGTGAAAAGACAAACTACTATGTGGGAGAATATCTTCGGAAACTATATATCTGATAAGAATCTAATAATCAAAATATATATAAAACTTGGACAACTTAACAGCAAAAAGATAACCCAGTCATAAAATGGGCAAAAGACTTGAATAGACATTTCACCAAAGAAGACATTCGAGTGGCCACCAAACACATGAAAAGATGCTCAGTGTCATTAACCATCAGGGATGCAAATCAAAACCACAATGAGATACCATTTCATTCCTGCTCGTATGGCTAAGATTAAAAAAAAATAAAAGTAACAAATGTTGGCGAGGATGTGGGGAAATTGAAACCCTTATCCATTGCTGGTGGGAATGCAGAATGGTACAGCTGTTGTGGAAAACAGCGTGGCAGTTCCTCAAAAAACTAAAAATAGACCTACCATATGACCCGAAATACTTGAAAGCAGAGACTCAGAGACTTGTACACCACTGTTCATTACAGCACTGTTCACAGTAGCCAAAAGTTGGAAAAAACGTAAATGCCCATCAACAGATGAAATGAGTATACAAAACGTGGTACATACATACAGTGGAATACTACTCAGCCAGTAGGAGAAATGAAGTCTTGATACATGCTACAGTATGGATGGAGCTTGAAGACTTATGCTGAGTGAAATAAGTCAATCACAAAAGGACAAAATTGTCTGATCTCACTTATATAAAAAGATAAGAAAAGAGAAATTTATAGAGACCAAAGTTTATTAATGGTTACCAGGGGCAGGAAGGAGCGGGATGGGGGTGATTAATGGTGATGGAAAAATTACATTGATTAAGGGTATAATTGCACAGCCAGTTATTGTAATTGTTGTCAGTAAATTGAACAACTGTAAAGAGTTGAACTGGTAAAAGTTGTATGATAGATATATTTACAACAACTACCAAAAAAAAATAGCTTCTGAGGCTGCTTATGTACAACCAAAAGCTTCATGGGATTTGGTTCCTTGGTTTGGAGGTTTAGGGTAGTGGTTTCATGGGACATCCTAGTTCATTGGCCTAATAACGTGTTTAGTGCTTCTGTTCTACCTCCTAGTTTGTTGTGTAGTGCGTGGGATCTTAAGAGATTGCAAACGGCCATCCACGTCACAGCGGTTGGTCTCTGTTCACCTGGAGCAACAGACGAAGAAGGAGACTCAGAAATAGGAGGAGGATATGGAATGTGTGGCTAATTGCCTTCATGAACAACTGCCTCCTTTGCCATGAGACCAGAAGAACTGGATGGTGCCTGGCTACCATTACTGAACATTTTGATCAAAGATTCTATAGAAGAATCCTGATCAAAAGGGGGAAATGCAGAACAGAATTTCAACTTCTCATGGACTCCAGACTTTCTGGAGCCATGGAGGGTGGATAAACCCCTGAAACTATTGCCCTGAGATAATCTTTAAACCTTAAACCAAAAATATCCCCTGAAGTCTTCTTAAAACCAAATAATAGTTTAGCTTAACTAATAAAATGTCTGCCTTGAGCCTTGTGCTCTTTTAAGAACTATCTGTATGGAATCAAAGTGACAACAGCAACTCAAAAGATTAGATGGGAACCTTAGTGGGCAGTAAGTTTATGTTAATGGGGGAGGAACAACTCAGAAAAGAAGGATGAGAATGATGGCACAACTTGAAGAATGTAATCAGTGTCACTGAACTGTACCTGTAGAAACTGTTGAATTGGTATATGTTTTGCTGTGTATAGTCTCAACAACAAAATAAAATTTAAAGATAAAAAATAAGCTATCAGGTGTGGTCCAAGGGACCAAATATGAATTACAAGGATACTCCAATTATTAGGGGAAATTCCAAGGATTTAGAGACTACCTCCCAGCAAGCAGAGACAAAGGCCACCCCTGGGTGGCACAAATGGCTAAGCACTCACCAAAAGGTTGATGGTTTGAACCCATCTGTCATGGTTTGAATTATGTCCCCCCAAAAATGTGTGTATCCAATTTGGCTAGGCCATGATTCCTGGTACTGTGTGATTTTCCTATATGTTGTAAACCTGCCTCTATGATGTTAATGAGGGTGGATGGGTGGCAGTTGTGTTAGTAAGGCAGGACTGGATTTACAAGACTGGATTGTGTCCTGAGGCAATCTCTTGAGATATAGAAGACAGAAGTGAGCAGTGAGACAGGGGGACCTCATATCATCAAGAAAGCAGTGCTGGGAGCAGAGCACATCCTTTGGACCGGGGTCCCTGCGCTGAGAAGCTCCTAGTCCAGGGGAACACTGATGAGAATGCCGACAGAGAGAGAAAGACTTCCCCTGGAGCTGACGCCCTGAATTTGGACTTTTAACCTACTTTGACTATGAGGAAATAAACTTCTGTTCATTAAAACCATCCACTTGTGGTATTTCTGTTGTAGCAGCACTAGATGACTAAGACAGAATTTGGTACTGGGAGTGGGGTGCTGCTCTAACAGATACCTAAAATGTGGAAGCGGTTTTAAAACTGTGAATGGATAGACGTGCGGCAGTGACAGAACCAGCAGCAGCAGAGAACCTGCAGCAGCAGAGAACCTGCAGCAGCAGAGAACCAACAGCAGCAGAACCAGGAGACCAGTGCGAGATGGCGCTGGAGCCGACCCACGGAGTGAGAGAGCTGAGTGTCTGTGTGCAGGAGGCTTTCTGGCAGAGTGGGGTGCCTCCGGGCACTTATACCAGTGGAGCTACTGAGCTTTGGAACACTTGCCCCAGCAGGGCAGATGCGGGCATGAGGCCTGAGGGCCGAGAGGCCATAGGAAGCAGAAGCTGAAGAGACAAGGGACACAAGAAGCCGAGCTGCTTCGGTCTCAAAAGGTATGGCCATGACCTCAGGGGTTTCAAAGGGTGGAGCCTTGGCCTCTGGTGTTTCTAAGGGTGGAGTTGTCACTCCGATGGACTAGGAGAATGGTGCCCCTAAAGCCAAGGGAGCAGAGTTGCTGTCCCAGTGGGCCTGGAAGGTGGAGCTGAAGCTCAGGGTTGAGGGGCCTCCACTCAAA